ACAGCATATATGAACATATATATATATATATATATATATATATATATATATATATATATATATATATATATATATATATATACATGTATGCACATATGCAGCATATTATTTCGAATGAGGTTTGTGCATTAACAGACGAGTTTATGTCCACTCTGTGTAAGGAAATGTTGCGAACAATTGCACATATTGTACACGTTTACATACGTTTTATAATTTCAGCCTGCTCAGTAATGTATATGATCTGTATTATTATATAGTAATTATCTAATAGTTATGAGAACACTAAGGAATGGAAATGGCATTTACATAGTGTGGCTTTATTTATGATTGCTTGTAGTTTTGCACTGGTGGCAACACTTGATTTTAATTATGTCAAATTCAGACTGCAGTTAGAGTTTCTGCCGTCACGGTAGCGTCTCATCAAACAGCCAACCATTGTCAAGAACTGGAAAGTTTCCTTCTTGTTCCACTTCACTATGAGATTCAGTATTAGTTCATAATTTCCTCTTATTAGATCTAAGTAACGAACAGTTTTATTCCCTTCAGGTGTTTCGTCTCTTTCATCAAGTTGGTACTGGCCCTATATGCTTGGCATATTGCAGTGGACATCTTCGTCGAAGTGGGGATTGCCCAGTTTATGGGATCTGCAGATATCATTTAAGGTCAAATCCAAGTCAAATTTTGGTTACATATTTTCAAAATGACGTCATCTGTGTCACTTTAAGTCCTCAAGAAGTACATTGCGAAATCGAATACACTGTTTTCTTCTATCATTCATCGTTTCTCTCCTGTAAAAAGCTTATAGTGGAACTATTTTGAAATTGAGTCCCACGTTCGTTGATTGTTGCGCATTAGTTATAAAGTTTGCTTCACTAAACATTTTATGAGTTTTGCCTTCATTTCGTAGATGCTCGACTCATAGTTGAATTGGCCCACCAACATTTTAGACCCATAACAAATTCGGTCTACCCAAATCAGCCCATTACGTAATCACTATTTCCTCTCAAGAGTTTTATAATAGTAAAGTATATATGTCCTTTGTGTCTTGTCATCTTATGTTTCCTTATGTTCACTGCATCTGAGCATGACTTGTAGTATCATTTTAAAGTCAAACAGGTCATAGATGCGTTCAGTACCCGCTGTTTCAATAATGCTTGTAATGTTTTAGAATTTGATTACGGATACCATTCACTGTTGATTTACACTTTAGTTCGAACATTACCACATCCATATTCCTTGAAGGTTAGATATGTACGCTCAGAGAATTACATACGGAAAAACTTGTGTCAAAGTACGTAGAAACTTAACCATGTTATCTAGTACAAGAGGATTGAATGTCGCCGGCTGTTATCTCATAACGAGAACTGCGCATGTTTTGTGAAAAAAAATTACCTGCTATGATAAACCCGAATCTTCTTTCCTTGACCTAGTTTCGTAATAATTGTCCATAGCGATCAATAATTTTCGTCTGTATTGTTTGCTTACTTCTTACGGTTAATAAAACTCGATGTGTTTACATAACTATTAACGATTAACTAAATATGTAATAAATATAATGCCGGTTATAAAAATGTATTGTTCAATAACAATAAGTGTTACGAAGCCATACAAGATCTAAGGCAAGGATCACACACAAAGAAAAAATTCCTAACCCGACATATTTTAATTTTTTTTCTTGTCCGAATTTTTCGAAGCTTGATTTGTTTAACCCAACCTTGTTTTTGACGGCAATAACAGCCTTACAACAAATTCTTACAATGCTTTTGACTCCGTGTTAATTGTCATATACATTTAACTCATTCAACGCCGTCTTCTACATTAGTCTGTTTTGGTAGGATTTGATGAAAATAATAGGCATGACGTGCACATATATATATATATATATATATATATATATATATATATATATATATATATATATATATATATATATATATATATATAAAGAAATAAAGAATACAAATCATATGGCGAATAACAACCCTTTCAAGCGTACTGGATCCACCAAGGGATCACGTGTCAGGGATTAATTAAAATAGATGCAATAAACTGACGACGAACAGTACGAAACTAGTAACAAACTAGCCTAAGCGCTTTCGAGTCTTAATGAGTCTTTTTCAAAGGCAAATACAAAACATATATACGATAAACAAATAAACACAAAAAAGTCGTGTTTGTAAACCTCTACATGGCTGTCTTCACATGTGCTAAAACTATAAATACAACCAGCTTGTATAGACTAGATGCGGAAACTGAAAACGTTGCATAATTCCCTAAAAGTCTACAAGCCAAAGCGACATCTATTTTTACTTTTTGTACATATGTAACGCAGATTATATCCCGGATATTTGATTCTATACCGGTTATTCTTATAGTAAAAATTGAAGGATAATAAGAAGATGATTTAGAAAATGTTAAATTTTACTAGTGCATAGTTTTCATTTTCTAGTCTTCTTGGTTTAGACCGCTTGGTTTCAATGTTCTAAGGCGGCGTATCCAGTATGATTCCTTTTCCTTCCTGGTTTCGGAACTCCAGCTGTGGTTGTTAGCAATAGCGATAAGTATTATATCACTGAAAGTGTGGCCAGGGGAGGAGAAGTGTTCTGCGACCGGGCTTCTGTACAGCTTTTTTGTCATCCAATCAGATCTATGAAGGTTTATCCTTTTGTGTAGCTTTTCAGTTTCTCCGACGTACTGAAGGCCACAGATCTTACATGTGATGAGATAAATCAAATTCTCTGTCTTGCACGTTTTGTTTAGACCATGTATGTTTAGTTTTTCTTTAGTCACTGTGCTAGTGAATGTCTTGGTCTCTATCATATGTTGACAGGTTTTGCATCTTTTATCGCCACAGGGTCCAGATTGACTAGGTTGGTTTTGACTAGCGATTGGCGTTAGCTTTGCCCTGACTAGGATGTCCTTTAGGTGTTTTGGTCTCCGGTAAGCTACTACAGGTTTGTTCGGAAGTATTAGGTTTAGTATGTCTGACGATTGCACGGTTGGCCAGTGGTTTGCGATGATTTTACCTACTTTGGGATTGTCTGGGTGATAGGTCAGAATAAATGGTATCCTATTAACCTTTTCTTTCTGTCCATATCTGAGTAGGTCATCACGGTTTGTTTGTTTGGCCCTTTGGATTGCCTCCGCAATCAGGTCTTTGTCGTAGCCTCGGTAAATTAAATGTTTAGCCAGCTCTTCAGACCTTTCTAGGAATCTTTCATCGTCGGAGCAAATTCTGTGTATCCTCAGTGCCTGGCTATATGGAATGTTCGTAATGCAGTGTTTTGGATGACAGCTGGTTGGGAGGAGATACTGGTGTTTGTCGGTTGGTTTCGAGTAGATGTCTGTGTGTAATTTGTTTTCCACCAGTCTGGTTGTTGTGTCCAGGAAAACATGGTTTGAGTTGGAAATTTCTGCCGTGAATTTTATTGAAGGATGGAAGTTGTTTGCCTTTGATATGAAGTCATCCAGACTTTCTCTTCCATACTGCCACTTCATTTCTATATCATCGATAAAGCGTACCCACTGGTATGGTGTACGCTCAACCGATGCTAAGAGCTGACCCTCAAGTTTTCCCATGAAAATGTTAGCATACGAAGGGGCCATTTTAGTACCCATTGCAGTTCCATTGATTTGTAGGTAGTTTTCTTCATTAAATTCAAAGTTGTTGAGTTTTAGGACAAGCTCCAGGAGTTGGACTAAGAAGTGTGTGGGTGAATTGTTTACAGTTCTTGTTTCCCATGCTTCGCTACATGCCTGTAACCCTTCGTTGTGCGGTATGTTGGTGTACAAAGATGTGACGTCTAAGGAAGCAAGTGTGAATCACGTGATTTGGTGTCATGATATTGATTGATGATAATAAAACAACAAAAGAGAATTAGATTCAGTATCATGAATTGTATAAATATTTTACCAATGCGATATAATATTACCATAGCCTTAGAATGTTCCAGAAGATACATGTTTATGAATTTGATTGGTAAATGGCACACGTCCTGGTCATATTATTGTGTATTTGGCTTTATCTAAAGTATTTTTTAAGTAAAGAACATAATTCATCCCTATTTTAAGTTCAACTGTGTTCGTATATAATTTTATAATGTATTAATTGGAATTACAGAGCGCTCATTGACATTTTGGTCTAAATCACTATATTGAGTTATTGTGAATTCATTCAAATACATTTCGGATTATATCATTGTCATACAGTAAGACTACTGGCACACCACCACATTCTATACTTGAATTCATTCGAAACGCTCTACATATTTGCACTTTTAATAGAACGTTAGGATTATTTGGCATTTAATTCACAATAATGTAAGTTACCTTTAAATGATAACTTTTTTATTCATGGGAAATAAACTGTTTGATAAATTTACTAAACGTGTTTGTTTTCTTGTTCTGTTCCTTTTGTTAAAGAGTCGTAGCACTTCAATAGATTTCTCTAAAGTAATCCTATTAGATTCCCACACCCTTTGTCTCGGTAAACATTCCTGTCTTTGTACACGTGCATTTATATGACTTAATATTCTATTTTTTCACAGGGTTGGCTAGGGATCATATATAGTTTTCAAATTAGTATTTTAATATGCAAAAATAAGCAATACTGATTACAACTGGCAAACACATTTTGATTCTATCGATTTCTTCCAGTGGCACTGCCGTATACTACATTATATTTGCAAACTATTTTCGTCCACTTATTTTCGTAAAATATGCGTTCAGTTAGTTTTCAAACAGCAATACACAATCCAATCGTGATGTGATTATGATTTTTAATGTAGCTTTAACAATTTAGCAGTCATATCGCTACAAATATCTGCAGTGTTGCAGTTGATAGTGATGTCTAGCACTGGGGCATCATGCCGCAGACATGTAGCATGATTTCCCACCCTGTCACATTATCTTGACACCAGCCGACCAGTCCTAACACTGACCTCTTAATGCTGAGCGTCAAGCGATGCATCTGTTAGTACCATTTTTGTAAGTCTTTAGTATGACTCAAACCGGGGATCGAACCCAGGACCTCTCGCATTTGAGGCGGACACTCTAACCACAAGGTCACCGGAGCGGTTCAATCCGATCGTCCTTTTTTTTTCTTTTTCGTCCCCGGGTGCTTTTCCAAATTTGATTTATTATTTGCAAAATCGTTTATCTTATTCTCAAGAGGAGAGGTATTCCATTTCATATATAGACTAATGCTATCACTCAACTTAACTTACGTCAAGAGAAGAGTGCGAAGACGATATTATCCGATGGCTTGTAATAGTGAAAAACAAATATGGACAATAATCTATTTGTACGAATACTTATTTTGTCTCATTTTAGAGAATTTATGCTCAGTTTTATATATTGCTAAACTCAATAAACATTCCATTTGTTTCTTTCAAACACTTGTTAGTAATGTAATCTTTGCAAATATTTCCTCTCTGGCTGTAAAAAAAACTTCAAAATAGATGCATGCATTTAATAATCATGTGACCACTGAAGGCAGAATCAAAATTTAAGGGAAAAACTTGCTTTGAAATAAAATTTCACACTTTAATGCGCATTTCACAACTCTGAAGAAGAAATCAAACATGTCTGACGTTTACTATCAGAAATCCTTGCCCGTTTACTATCAGAAATCCTTGCCGTGTAAGTAATAATCTATTTATTCATCCAATCAAATATTTTTTAGTAATTATGCGAAAGCAGGTGAGACCAACGAGAAAAAACAGGATAGTCAATCTGAAGCAAGTGTGGAGAAGAGGTCGAATTAAAGTAATCGAGAAGTACTTACTCGAGATCGCTCAAACTAGCTTTTGATCACAATAATTCAATCTAGATTAAGTCATCTCAACTTTGATTACTCACTCCCTATCTATTATAAGTATCGTCAGTTTTTTGTTATACTCTTCTCTCTTGCGCTCCCTTACTGCCACTCGATCTTATTTCTTTCATTCATAGTCAGGAGCCCCGAGTAGTCGAGTGGTCTAAAGAGCTGACCGTTACGGATCACTGCCATCTCACCTCCATCTGCGTGAGTTCGAGTCCAGACTCAGCTAACGCGGGTAAGTGATAAAGCCTGTAAGTAGCTTTTCACGGATCAGTGGTTCTTCCCGTGGTTTTCCAGGGTTCTTCCTCCACCATTAATACTGGCCGCCAAGTATAGCTTATCTTGTGCTGAAAAATGGCGTTATAACAACAACAACATCATTCATACTCAATGGACGATTTTTATTTCGTATGATAAAAAAATTAAACTTTCCTAAATAATAATCACTTTTTGCTGACAATTAGTTCAATGATAAAAAGTAAGTTTTAATTTGCATATATACCAACGATCGATTCACCCATCCATCCATCCATCGTGTTCTCTCTTACAATAGGCTAAGTGTATATGTTTGTAACATATGAATGATATCATTAATATGTTATTTGTGTGGGGTATTAATATTTATAATGTTTCACGAGGAATTATTAAATGTTTTACATAATGTAGTTGCATGTGTGTGTGTGTGTGTGTGTGTGTGTGTGTGTGATAGGAGGTAAAAGTGCTTCACTATGTCTATTGAATTTGTATCTCTAATACTCACAAAAAGTTCTTCAATATTACCGTAGATGAACTATAATATTGAACTATCTTCTTGATCCTTTTAAAAAAGCTATGAATGTGAGAATGTGCGTACTTGTGTATAGATGGATGAATGTATCCACCTATTTGTGTGTATTCTGTCTGTCTCGCTCTTCGTCCGTCCCATTTATCGACCTAATTCTCGCTGAATGCTAACAAGATATATATATATATATATATATATATATATATATATATATATATATATATATATATATATATATATATATATATATATATATATATATATATATATATATATATATATATATATATATACACACTCTGCCGTCTCACCTCTATTTGCGTGTGTTCGAGTCTCGGGCGGCTAGGCCAATGTGGGTACGTGAGTAAAGTTTTGACAAATTCGTTACCCTCTAAAACGTGAAAGCATTTTTCTTGAACCCTCAAAAATGGAAAAATCTATCATTATCGTGCCAGTCAAATGTGAAAATGTATAAAACTTGAAAATGCACCATTCTTGCGCCTCGAAAGCAGGACAAAATATCATTCTGAAGCAATATAGAAAGCCGTTTTAATATCTAACCATATATTTGCACCAAAATGTTCTTTTCTGACTTTGAAAGCTATTTGTGTTAGTGAAAATTATATTTTTAATGAAACTTCACATAAAAACTACCCTGAGGCTGCAATTAATGACTTCTACAAAATAAACACACGAAAAAAATGTAGTACATGTAACCCAAGCCTCGGTTTGCGTGTGTTTGATTTTTTATGTTGTTTTTCTTCAGTTAGTCGAGTAGTATAAAGGTCTGAATGCTAGTCAGTACAATGAAAAGCCTAGTAGGGTATTCCACACAATATTTGGCAGATGTACAACAAGGCCGGTCGATTCTTGAGCAGTTCAAACGACATGTAAATTACATTCACAGCGGACGATGTTTCCTGGCCTCCTATTGCACTTTTCAAAGCCCATAACGCAAAGCTATAATTATTACATGTTTATTTTTTTCATAAAGACCTGTGGTAATTGATTGCCTTCTGTTAGTTTAAGCAACACTTTGACAACAGACTATGTAGCTCACTCAATGATATCCACGCAGAGTGTTTGTGTTTTTTTTTTAAAATTATGTGGGGTTTCCCCGGCTGGTGGGGTTGGGTTGGATCATGCCCTATTCATCCCCAATGGTTGAGCATAGCTGCCTTTTATACGGCAAGCATTAAGTGACGTCAGTGCCGGGTGAAACGCCGTGGATGCCCCTGGGCAGTCGAAATCTCGGTTCCCCATCCCCTTCGCAAATTATCTCCTAATACGTCAAGATCAAAATTTATTAAATATTATTTTGATATGTTGTCGTGGGGCGTGTGGCGTGGGGCCCATTGGCCGGTGCCTACTCTGCCAGTTTCGTAATCCGGCAACGAGTGACTTTAGTCTCGCGTTAGACTAACAACAGCAAGTGCATGGTACTGGCTGACAAAAACTAAAATTCGATAAAAATAGCTAGATATTAATGCGCATTTTGTTTCATGCACAGTAGTGGTTGCCAACTGAGACAGCTGATGACAATATGGACCAAGTGTTACGATCCTGGAGTTAAAGTATGTGTTAAGAAATCAATTTTGTATAAATCTCTTTTTAATTCATTTTATTTCATCATATTAATGTCGTCTAACACGTTTTTGATAAAAAGTGTTTGCTTGAGTCGTAGATGTAACTCGTGTTAGCACGTGCTGTGTATTTAGTAAATTCATTGCAAGTAAACATTCAGGAATGGCCACGAGGGCGATTTGCTGATGTTGGGTCAGGCTTTCCTGAATGTTCAGAAGTATTAGGAAATTGCATGCTTCCTCTCGCGCGTGCAGTTCAGGCTACGCATTAGCCTTCCCATATATGCTTTGAGATTTTGTAATTCATACACAGTCACGGACAGACTGTCCTGTTAGAGAGTCAACAGTCACGGACAGACTGTCGTAGTCGAGTCTGTTATATAAATTCTAATTTGTTGTGCCAGAAGTAGAAGTTGTCATTATGTCTACGTAAAATAACATGCCGTGTTAGAGGAACTATTTTTCACTTCGTCTTTATAATTTTCCTAGAGAATATTACGTATTTGGACATTTTCTCCCTAATATTGGAACGGGACAACACATACATTGTTTATTGTGAAAATTCTGGAATTTGCTGTTAGTCTTCATCTGACGTGGTCAACCGCCATTTTGGACCGGAACATCATACTTTCAGACAGTGTTTAGAACTCTTTACAGGACTTTTATATTTTTTTTAAAATTATTTTTGAACATTTGTTTGGATCATTCCTGTAAACCGTAAGTCTTTTTTTTAAAAATAATTTACATTATTTTGTGTTTGAGTAAAATAAATTGTATCATTGTTAAAATTTTAAATCTTGTTGTGTTCACTCTTTCTTTTATGTTACTTAGAACGAGCCGTCACGTAATACAAGTTACATATTCCAAGCAAGACTATTCCAATCATATTAGGCAGGTGTTTATTGCTATAAGGTGGAACTTTTGTTTGCGGGGATGGGTGGGTGACCGGTTTGTGTGGGTGTTTGGGGAAGGGTGGATGCCATTGTTGATCGTGTTTATAGGGATATCTGTACATTGTGAAATATTAGTACTGATTAGAAAGCAGACGTCCAACATGTATTAGTTTTCATAAAGCCTGAAGACTTAATTAAATCCAATTTGTTTTGGAAATGAAGAAAAATCAACGTAATTGTGAAAAATAGTGGTAGGTTGCACGTGCATTAGGACAGATAATCTATTTGAAGCACTGTTCTTTTCATATTAAGCAGGTGTTAAAATAACTTTATGGTATGATTTAAGTTTCTTATTATTTCATTTTCATGTTCGCGATGTCCATAGTGCGCTGATTACAGTACCTTTTAGGCGAACAGTTCGTAAAATTCATGTAGCATAACTCTCGGCATACTTATATTCTTTTAGCATGACGATTACATGTATGTGTTTGCGTGGCTTATTCCCAAGATGCTATAATGCTAATTAGAAGTACTGCACAACATAAGATTTTTCTCTTTGCTTCTATTGCGTTTTGGAAAAGTCTTGCAAACTGCGGCACGGGAAGGTTTTAAGACTTGTTGTTCTATTATTATTATTATTATTATTATTATTATTATTATTATTATTATTATTATTAACAAAGTGAATTCAAACAGTTGTGAGCCCAGCAATGGATAGGGTTAGCGATATCACTGTTAGTAATATCTGAAGTTGCCTCCCTTACACTTCTATGTGTGTGCACCTTGCATACCTAATGACTCGTGATAGCCATCACTAGGATTTATCGATGCCGATCATGTAGATTTAACTGCAGTAAGAATTAAGAAACATAAGACTTTACAAAATTAGCATTAGGTACATGGACTAGTAAATATGCATGCGAGTACACTATTTAACACCCTCTGAAGCCAGCTCACAGGAGGAAAAGTTTTCATCACCTGACTGTTGTTATA